GATGGTTTTTTCTATTAAACATTCCAGAATTTGAAAAATTTGATTCATCTGTCCATAAAAGGTAACGAAAGTTATTTACATTTTGGCGACAGAAGCTAAGATACCAATGGCAAAAAACAAGTCTTCTCTCTGGATCCCCTGCCAAAAGCGTTTGAACTGGTCGGTACTTATACGGAATAAATTTGTATTTTTTTAAAATCCTTTGAACAGTACCATAACTGAAATTAGAGTCCTTGAGAATATCTGCTACTGAATTCTCACGATAAGCTTCAAAATATCCAATAACTGCAATTTCCGTGGCCTCGCTTATTATGAATTCTTTTTTTGCCCTTGTTTTAGCAAAAACATTTTCGTTGCCCCTAAATTTTCGATAAAGTCTCAGAAAATATCGTTCATACGGTTGAATGCGAGCGGGATATAATTCTCTCAAGGAGGATTTTCTGCACACTAAATAGCATTCTAACATATCACACTTTTCTTCATGGGAGAACATTTTTCTTTAAATTAATGACACAATAAAGCTTATAAACAAGCATTTACACTAATGTTTGACATTATTTGATTTTATCATTGTTTTCCAAAGCCTTCTAGTTGCGAGTATGTCCAGTTTAACAATTTGTCGCTTATCTTAATGCTGTCAAATCGCGAACGCCATGTTGTTTTCATAGCCGTCTTAATATTATAATACTTCAAATAATTAAAAATATTTATCGTTATTTTGACTTTATTTTTGACTTTAGCGGAAAAGTCATTATGAACTTTTTTGTTTAAAATTTGATGCTTTAACAGAAAAAAATATAATATACAGGGGTTTCCATTTAAAAAAAGTTATTTTACTGACAAAAATCAAAATAACGACTCTCAATTGTTTTTTTTTATTTCTCATTTTTACCAGCGTTAAAAATGCTACTAGTTTGCTAATTCAAACAACTTTGTATTTTCACGAATAACAAAGTTACTAATGGTGGACACTTAATTTGGATAACCCTGTATACAAATGCAACCTACCCCTGTGTGTGAAAGTTTGTTCAGTAAGCTCAAAGACATATGTTTTTTAATTGTGAGTATCCATCTATAAAACCTTGTCGTTACGTATAAGTGCCCTTCAATCATATTTGTCAGAATGACAACTTACTTGATATCAATCTCCAATATAATGCCCGGAATTACGATCAATGGAGAAGGCAGACAGCTAGTGCCAAATTTATTAGAGTATATACAGGAGAGAATGAAAACTGCTTAAATACCCGCGTATTTAAGCGATGCAGAAGAAGAATTTGCCTATTCTTCGAAAATAGATAATAGAATGAGGCAAAGGTCATGTGGCGTCATGCAGTCGATGAAGCCAATAAATACGATGATTCCCTTGAAATAGAGGGAAACTCAAACACCTATTATTGATGTTGCTGAAAGCAGGTTGAGTATGGATGCATTAGCAGGGATTTTGATTATAGATGGAAGGGAAAGCATGTAAGAGAAGATCACAAATGCAGCTGGCAACCCTCGTATTGACACAGATGCACAGAATTGAAAATTAGATTCACATAAATGTACGCACCGTAGGTTACCCAGCGCTGAGATAGCCACAGAACATCATAATTGGGTTATGGGCCATTATGGACACCCGCAAATTTTTTTCTCAGAAACGGTCGGTGATCGGCAAAATATGACATTTGATGAAAGCCTGTCTCCGGAGATTACTGAAGAGCTGAACCATATCTACCCCCAAAACCTTCTGAATAGCGGAGGACAGCAAATCTTCCCTACTAGGGTTGAGAGCAGATCTTAAAAATCTTCAAAATTGTCGCGAAGTCTTCCAAACGGGCTCTCAAGGGGGGTCACGGCCTCCTTGGCACCCCCTGCGGGCGCCCATGTCCGACTTATAAACTCTTGGCTACCTCTGGTGTAAACGTGGCCATAGCGTCAAATAGCGTTTTATTTTCACAGACTCAGCGTAATTTGTTCTAAATTTGGCCCTAAAGTTATGCCATTTCGTTATGTGCTGTCATTTGTCAGAAAAAAAAAGATTGATTTCTTTATCCTTTCCGTGCTTTTATGGTCAATTCCATGATAAAACCATGATAAAACTGCAAGGATTCTTGCAAAGCTACAAGTAAGAGTTGGGAAGTTACATTTTCTTTCTTCCTAACTTTATGTTCTCTGATTCCATCACACGATTTTTCTATGCCCCTCCTCGTGCTGGCGCTTCTGTCTCTGACAAATGGCTCTATGCAAATTGTTCGCGTTCCAGATGGACACGTATATTTACGGGTTTTAACCTCGGCTTTAGCCCTGTCAGATTGATGGAGGAACGATTTTGTGTGGCGTTCAGCACCTTTTTTCGGCGACTTTAAAACAGCAGTGCGTATTTTCCACCGTTAATTTTAAGTTGTATAACTCTATATACGGCACGCTTTCACAAACCCTGAAACAAGGTTTCATTCGCTTGTACAAGCAGGAAACAATAATGAAACTTTTACCCTACAAATAATTCTTATACTCGTATTACTATCCACGCTTACTGGCGTAGTAAGTATTGTAATCACGAGAAGTTTAGAAAATGAGATATGTTTTTTGGATGTTATATAAAAACCATCTCACTTGATTCTGTCGGTGTTTTGGTATGTCAGTCTGCTGATTCTTGGTCCGTCCATAACTTGGAAACTACTGCTCGAGTTTTGGTGAAAATTCCACCAGTTCGAAATAGCTCCGTAGTTTTTCTATATAGCTCCAGTAGCGGCAGCGTGTAGAGCAAAAAAATCGCTCGAAAATTTTTTGAGGTCGTAAAGGCACCTGATCTTTTTCAGAAAGATTTTGTACGGATTTGAAATTTTGGTTTGGGGGTGGTAATAGGTAGGAGACGGCATATAGTATACTAAGTGACATATAAATCCGAACACCCAGTTTAAACGGTTTTATTTTAATAAAATTTTGTATAAGTACTTAATGAAGCATAATAAGTAAATGATAAAAATTTCAAAATGATTGCACTGCTTTAAAGCCCTTTGACCTTTAATAATGCGTGGACGCACCCTGATGTGCTACGTATTCTCCAACGCGCCTAGGCATGCTTCTGATCAGGTGGTCAATGTCCTCCTGTGGTATCTCATTCCAGGCAACCACCAACTCCTCTCGAAGTGCTTCTAGAGTCTGAAGAGGACGTTGCAAATTGAGCAATCTCCTACCCATCATATCCCACACGTGCTCAATTGGGGATAAGTCGGGAGATCTTGGTGGCCATGGTAACAATGTGACATCATTATGTTGAAAGAAGTCTATTGTGACTCTTGCAACATGTGGTCGGGCATTATCTTGTTGGAAAGTTGGATCTGCCAGGGTGTCAAGATAGGGTAAAAGATGGGGTTCTAGAACTTCGTGGATATAACGCTGCGCGTTCATGTTACCTCTGATGAAGATTAAAGGTGACCTGGAACCATAAGCTATAGCACCCCAAACCATAACTCCAACAGTGTGATGAACATGTCTTTCAACAAAAAACTGTGGATTCCTCCTTTCACCACGGCGCCTTCTAACCCTGGCACGACCATCGTGCATGCCTAAACAAAATCGAGACTCGTCACTAAAGACTATACTGTTCCATTCCTGATCTCAGAGTGACCGTTGTCTGCGCCACTCAAGGCGATTACGTCGGTGTTCTCGAGTTAAAGGGAGGACCCAGTGTGGCCGGTATGAAAACAAGCCAAAACTTCTCATTCGTCGGTAAACACTTCGCATGCCAATAGGTCTTCCGTGTTCTGCAAACCATTCATTTGCAATGGACCTGGTAGTGGAGAAACGGTCCCTTAAGGCCAATAACCTTAGGCGGCGATCTTCACGGTCTGTTGTTCTACGGCGGCGTCCGGTGCCCCTTGCCCTTTGCGTACGGCCTTCTCGAAGCCACGCCTGACAACACCTAACCACAGTGCCTACACTTCTTTGCACTCTAACTGCAATTGCCCGAAAAGAAAGTCCAGCTTCCCGAAGTCCCACTATACGGCCCCTATCAAACTCACTAAGTTGACGAAATCGTACAGGTCTCCGTACTCTAGGCATCGTAACCGATCGTAAAGGATATCAAGAACCAAAATCCAAATCCATCAACGTTGATTCTTTACTGCGGCTGAAATATTCATTTTTAGAGCGTTAGTGAATTAAAAAAAAGCAGTATAAAAACTGGAATGTCCAACTGATAAGGCTGAAAATTTTTTCACTTGTTACTTACAGTAAGATAAATACATTCACCAACTTTTATTAAAATGAAACCATTTAAACTGGGTGTTCGGATTTATATGTCACTTAGTATATTTGGCAGCATGGTTAAGACAGTCTAAATTAGAAATTGTCTATAGTTGGTTATAATCTCAAAAGGTCAACAAAAACTGTTCGGTTTCCTTTACAAGCCACTGGAAAGGAGTTATTTCCATTACGAAGAATTTGAGGAATCAGTATATATATCGCATTAAAAGCTAAAGTAATCAGTGATCAAATATTGTTGACAAGAGCTCCAAAGAAACGGGGCTATCGAGTCTTTTTTACAAAGAGCCGAAATAGTGCACTAATGATTATGACAAATCCTACGTCTGTGTGATGTGCACTACTTGAAAAATTTGATCTACAGGGTGTCTCGAGGGTGTGGAAGGAATGCCGTCAACCTACTTGAGGCCGTATTTAGATTTTCTGTGAGATTTAATGCTTCCCACTCAGTCAACTTTGGCTATTTCAGAATTTGTACCAAGAAATTTTCTTCATAGCTTCATAGTAGACACAGTACCCTCGAAGTTATGACGCATCTAGATGGGCAACACCTTTACTGCATCACCTAGCTGCAATAGAGCGTGATAGATTCGCCATGTAAATCCGGGCCATATGGTGATGATCGCTGAGCTATAGCTTCCATAGTTTTATTGTTGCAAAAACATTGCTCATCTGGATACTCTATTAGGGTTTGCTTTCGTAGCTATTGAAACCATGTTCAAGAGCCTCTTATTTCCGTTCTAGGTATGATGGACATAGCACTGATCACAGCAAATGCCAACCAACTTCGCTACGTCTTGGAGTACACTAGACACACTTCAACGTTTTACGCCTTAGTCTTCCTGATTACGATCTCTTTGGTACTGCAAGTGGCCATAGGATGCGCTCTTATCTTCAAGGGAAGATTAGACATCAAGGGAGAATCCAAGTGCAAACGAGCGCAAACCATTAACAACTGTGTAGTCTCTTCCGTTTTTTTGGTCACTATTATTAACGTATTCATAGCTAGTTTCACTATAACTGGAAATAATATGCAAAAGAAGTAATATATTGAATAAGCAGTCACATGTAGTCTTTATTTCGGTTACAGAAAGCCATCAGCTTCAGCATCGTGTTGAAGCTGCAGGTACAAAGTAATGGAAAGAATAAATGTATCCACTCAACATCTTGAGCATGTGGTATAAACAACAAAGGTATCACATACAAAAATTGGCCAGCCTCAATACTATCCATGGAAATAACTTAAAACCCAGAAGTATATTCATTTACGACTGGATGTAAAGTGTTAAATCGAGACACTGTCTTTATAATGCATTGGTCGGCTTCTGCATTATAGTAGGAAAGCCCATCGCAAATTTCTGGTTACTACATCGCCTGGTGCAGAGTTCCCCAAACTTTTTTGTGTCGTAGACCACTTGCCATGTTTTTCCGTGTTGGGTAGACCCCCTACTTACCTGATATTGATTTCCTGTGAATTTCTAACTGTAGTGAAGTTTAGTGTTAAAAACTTAAAGTAAAAACACATGTTAATTTATACATTTATTAATTGAATTTAGATTAAAACTACTCAAAATAAAATTTTGTATCTGTTATGTAAAATATACGTAACATTAAATAAACAGGTGTCTGACCAATAAGTGCCCGCATTGGGAATAAGTGCCCGCATTGAAAAAAAAAGTGAAAAATAGTAAAAAAAAAAGTTTATTACTTAAAATATATAGTACAATAAGCGAGTTCGTTTATTAATTATAACATAAACGTATGTTCCTCAATAATTTCACTGTTAGTTTGATTAAATTCCGCTTCTTATATGTTCAAGTTATCTAAAAATAGGCAAAAAATTAACGAATTTTAGTGTGTACCTATCCTTGAATTTTCAGAATAATTTAAAAAAAAATATTTTCTATAAAGGGGGGTTCTTTAAAAAAATCATTGAGGGCACTTATTCCCAATGCGGACATTTATTGGTCAGACACCAATAAACATAAAATAAACTATAAATAAAATAACATAAGCAATAAGTCAATATTTTTAGTGAGGATGAACCTGATGCTTTAATAATAAATTATCAACATTTGGCGTCAATTTTGTAAGGGTTGGTCTTAAATCTCCTCGGCTAATGATGTCCAGTCTGTTTCTTTTTTTCGTTAGGAGATTGGTAACAGCGCTGAACCCCCTTTCCGCTAGGTATGACGATGGAAAGGAAATTAAAAATTTCCTCGCTATATTCCATAATACGGGATAAGTAACGGGTATGTTGTTTTGCAGCCAGAATTGCTGATATCCGTTTTTAAACTGAACCTTAAGTTCTTCGTTTGTACTTAGTTCAGTCAGTTCCTCTTGTATTATGACATTCGTTTCTTCTATGTCACCATATGGATTAATTATCCACGGTGGTATTACCATAGTCAAAATATCCTCAAACATAGATTCAAAATCTGAATAGAGGGCATTTAAATGTTGAAACGTCGTCTTCCTGGCAGCTGGTCTGTGACAAATTGGGGAACTGAGAAAATTCGCCCCGTCCAATATTTTGCTTCATCAGTTTAACTCTGGCAAGAAACGCTGATAAGATGGACTTTGTTTTAATCAAATTTAAACTGTCGCCTTGTAATTGCAAATTAACCATATTCAATTTTGTAAACAAATCTGTTAAATAGGCGATGTCTGTTTTCCTCTTCATTAAATTTTCTTTTAAAATTCTATCTTTAGTATCCAGAAATTCTAAAATAGTCTCAAAAAGTGCAAAAATCTTGTCAAACATAAGCCTTTCGACAGCCAGCGTACTTCAGTGTGAAGGAGTAATTGATGAAAGCGTTCGTCATTTTCTTCACACAACTGCGCAAATAACCGCGTATTCAACGCGTTGCTTTGGATTCGGTTTACTGCATCAATGACTAAATGAAGTGATTCATGCAATCTAACACTCAAATTTTTAGCAACTAAATGTTGTCGATGGATGACGCAATGCATTGCTAACACCCCTGACACATTTTGTTTTAAATAGCTTACAAATCCACGATAACGTCCAAACATGGCAGGTGCTCCATCTGTAGCTACTGATATTATATTTGATAAAGGAATTTCTTTTTCAATGAAGTAATCCTTCAAAACATGAAATATTGATTCACCTTTAGTGTCGATTATCAAAGTTCTTGCGAAGAGCAGTTCTTCGTAGATTTCTTGATTCATAATAAAACGAACATATGCCAATAATAATGCTGCATTATCAGGTAAAGTTGACTCGTCCGGTTGTATAGAGAAATGGGTCGTTTGCAAATATGTAATTACATAAGAAGCTTTCATTATCAGAACTCATTTCATCAATTCATCTTTCAACAGTATTGTTGCTTAAGGGAATTCTTTTAATGATATCAGATGCAGGTTTGTGTAAAACAGTTTTTAAAACCTCTTCAACGGTTGGCAAAATTAACTTTTCTCCGATAGTATGCGGTTTTCCGGATTTTGCTATAAGTAACAAGATATTGTAAGACGCCCGCAAACCATCATCATTTCTTTGTGACGTCGAAGTGAACATTCTGTCCAGTGTAGGTCTCTTCTGAAATTTATCTTTGAGTGTTTGAAAGTATTTCAAATCTTTCTCTGTTTTATTAGGGTGGCATCTTCTCAGATGATCTTGCAGTTTAGATGGTTTCATAGCGTCATTGCCAAAAACTTTGTTGCATAATAGGCACATAGGCGATTGCTTGTCCGGCAATGATGGAATGAAGCCAAATTTCAAATAATCAACACTGTACTGTCTACATTTCTTTTTAGATTCGGACATGGCATCAGTCATCTGTGGGCAAAATTAAATTATTTAAACAAGACCGAAAATCCAGCAGCTGTATATTAAAAATATTTTTTGATTTTTCCGAAAACATTCCATAATTCGAACATCTTGCAACAATTAGCTCGAATTACGGAGATTGCACTGTAATTATATTACCGATTGCTAAAACTTTAAAAAAGAAACTATTGAGGAGTACTCGTGTAATTTTGCATGATTGAATATTTAACTACTAATAACTAAAGTCATGATTGGCGTAATATATCTATCTTTGCTAACTACGAGTACAAAACTAAAATTTTATAAAAAATAATGTACTTACTTTTCTCCAGCACTCTCAAACAAAATAACACTGACTCACTATAATTTGTGTGATATACTATCTGTTTATATTTTTTAAAATATTTTCTTAGCACTTTCCTTTTCAAGATTCAGGAAACGAATAAACGTATTTGTCCCACATTCGTATTTATAGAGTGACGAATTGAACAAGTCAGTGCAAGGTAGCGAAGCTCTGAGACTGCGACTCTCAGGTTTTTAAAAGTTCAAAACGTATTGCGACCACAAAGCGAATACCAACATCCTACAACTTACGTAATTTTACAAACATATATAATAAATTTTTTAAACATACCTTAATGCCTCACTGTCTAGATAACTAGCAACGACTGGTCAAATAAGAAACTTGAGGCTAGAAAGCCTTTCAATTTCAAGCTGACGTTCCATTTTTGCTATTAAAAGCTAAGTAGCTTCTATTGCTGAAAGTGTGATCCATATCATTATTGGATGAAACATGTTTCTTAGGCTGCAAACGGATGATTAATATGACCGTCATAAAGAAATGTCCAAACAAAACTATCGTATTTATGACACCATCAACAGTTTTGTGGATGCCATAAGTTTGTATACACCTCTTATCTCTCTCTAACGATGTCGTTTATACCCTAGCCATCCTTAAATTCACCTATGGTTATTCTCAAATTTTCGACTCCTCCTGTAGTCAACTGTACGTGTCAGACCTCTTCAAAAGCATTCAAAATTAGTTTCCAGTCAAGTTCAAGATAACACCCAGGTTTTTAGAATGCTCTACCACGGGGATGCACTCGTTATTTATAACGAGTACAATTGCGTCCTTTATGTTATTATACATGTGTTTCGGAGAAAAAAGCATACTTGAACTCTTTTCAGGATTGATCCTGAGACAGTGCTTTTTACAAAAATCCGTAATATTGATGAGGTCAGTATTAATTTTAAACGACACTTCATTTAATTGAGCATATTTGGAGTGAAATGATAATTGTGTGTCATCAGCAAACGTTTGTTTAGAACAACATTCCACACATGAGTCTAAGTATATAGTGCAAATTAAATATAGCAGAGGTACCAGAACTGACCCCTGCGGAACGCCAGACGAAACCACAGTACTAGAAGAGACCCCCTAACCGTCTTAACTATCTGTTTTCCTTGATCCAAGTAGCTTTGAAAAAATCTTAGCGGAATATCAGATAGTCCAATCTACTTCGGCTTGCTCAACATGATTTTGTGATTAACTGTATCAAACTCTTTTGAGAACTCAATTATCACTAATATGGTATTAATATGTCTGTCCAAGTTACCTAGGATGTTTTCAGTTAGATGGAGCAACGTTGAAGTAGTGCTACGTCTCGCACAAAATCCTGATTGACGAGGAGGAAACATGGTATTTTGCTCTAAATATTCCACTAGTTGAATGTACACTGCTTCTCTAATACCTTCGAACAAAAGCACAGCAAACTAACAGGCCGCAAATAATTATGAGTGGTTGGATTTTTGACTTTGGCTAAAAGGATGATAATAGCTTCCTTCCCAGCCTTAGGAAAAGTCCCGGTCTCAAGGCATATATTAACAATATGTGTTAAATACAATAAAATTTCGAGTAAGCAGTAACCTAGCATGTTCAAGTTAATTTCATCACTCCCTGTAGCAGGTGACTTGATAGAGGTAACTATGTCCAAAATTTCTTCATTGGTAATAATAGGACAAATCTTAAATTATATGCAAGTATTCCACTTTTATGGAAGAACTTAACTTTTTTCTCTCTTCAAGAACTCTGTACTTTTCTTGAAAACCCAATTTGTTGCAAAATGAGTTTTCAACGAAATCAAAGATTCGAAGAGAGAATGTGACTGTGAAAGTGGAATTTTGACAATTTCAGACCTGTCATAATATTTGTTAACAAGTGACGAATAAAGACAAAATGCACAATTAAATGAACAAAAAATGCGTGAAATAACAGTATGTAGGTAACCAGATGAAAAGGATTTAGAATACCACTTCAAACAGGCAGTTGAAAAAAAGTGAATGCAACCTTTATGCCTCTCCTCTTGTGTTTCCTTTATTAGAGTTTTTGACTTTTGACCTTGCTAGTCCTGATCTATATAAAGACATTTCATTAAGCCACCTCTTGAAAATAGGTTTTGGCATCACTATGCGATGCTTCCCACTTTGAACTCTAATATCACATAGCAAACAACAACCGCCCATTTCACGCCTTACATACATAAATAACTGTTACAAGAATCATTAGCGTTATTTTTAGTGCGCTTATAATATCACCAATGCCTTCTAATGATCCTTTGTATGCAGACATAACAAAGTACCCTATAACTATGAATAATGCACCTCTTAGTACTTATAATCATTATCCTATCATAACATAATTAGTTACCCTCGAATTTATTTTCCACTGTTAAAATCTTGATTAATGTTAGGGCGGGTTTACACGTTACGTTTTAATGTGCGTTTTGTCGGGCATACAAAACGTACGACAAATCGTGCGTTTCGTCGAGGGTATACACACTACGTATTTTCCCTACCGCTTTCTACTATAGTTCCAATCTAGGGGAGGAAACACGGCTAATTTATTTTATTTTTTCTACTTTAAGGATACAACGACTGAGACGAAGAGGGAAAAGACAAGAGGTCAAGGGAGTGTCTTCTGAAAAGAAGCCAGTACTCTCACGTCTTGTTATTGAAACAACTGAGGAGCGAATCTGATAACTGGTGCAATTATTTGCGAATAGACACCTCAGTTTACTTGTTATTTGCCATTGGGTGACATTATTACGTTTTTTTGGGAAAAAGGAAGCGAACTGAAGTGGAGCTTCTCGTGAACTTAGTCAAGATCGGACATCTCGTCTGATTATGAGTCTACAGCTTTCCTTTTGTCCTATCAGTTCTCGCAAAATGATGCTTCTCCCATCGGTTTTTCAATCTGACCTTGGATTCCATGTCGATTCGCAAGAAGTACGTTTTACTGTTTACGCGCCACGTTTTATTGGATAGGATTTGTCATGTCCCACAAAATGTGCAATAAGACGTAGCGTGTAAATCCGACTTTATATCTTAATTCCTATTTGATTTCTCATCGGAGCCCGTTTCAGCAAAGACGCTATTCGTTTTGTGTATGTGTGTGTGAGAGAGAGGGAAAGAGAGAGAGACAGAACTAGTATTCGATTTTTTCTACAGTTCAAGAAACGGTGCATGGCTGGATTGTCTGTTTAGATGGAGTCTAAGTACTGAAAGACGGTGACTGTTATTGAAAGGTTAAAGATATGCTGTTGATTAGATTCATGAGCTGCATAATATAAGTGAAATGAAAAAACACTTCCGAAGAATTTGTTCCACAATTCCGTGCATCAGGAACAAAGCAGCAGTGTAAGAGGTAAGCAGACGAAGAACTAGAACTATTGACACGTTATATCCTCTAATCAAGGACGTCGTGCGGATTTTAATGATCCACATCTTGTATTGAGCGCAGAAGGGTAAAACATGCAGTGAATGGAACGCAATTAAAATATGCTTTCAATAGAACTCAAAGCTTGTAAACGAGCTTGAAAGTAGGTGAGATGATTACAACATGGCATCGTGTTAGTACGAGTACTTCTCTGTTGATGAATGTCAAGTATTTGGAGGGCGATGGGACACACAGGATGAAACAAAAATAATTTTAGCCAGGTGGGTAACCGAATCGCATACAGGTATGTTGTCTACTGCTTTGAGGCATGCATGTAAGGGAGTACGATCGTAATAGGCTTTGTAACTTTCGGATAGAGTCCACACCAGGCAGACGGAAAGATGTCATTGGTATCATGCCACCACAATAGGAAACCGCTGCTCAAACCTTAGACTGTTTTGGAAATCAGGTGATGGAATGTGTCGGCTATCGTCTGCGAGATGTAGATTGGAAAAAAAGCAGAAATAGAATATCCCTACTGAAGGTTGATGTCTAGGGTTGCCAGATGAGGCATATACAGGGTGTAAACGTTATGGTAGTCATTAAAGAAGTGGGTAATAGGGGGCCAAAACAAGTCAAAAAGTTCATATGACCCAAGGTCCAAAAGTCAAAAGATTTTTGTCTAAAAGGCTTTATAGTTTACAACTTTAAGTGCTTTATATCGACCACAATCACCACAATCTTACTAATTTTTATAATCTAATCTAAAACGCTTTTAAATTGGCTAATTAACAAATAAATGGCATTAAGTTTTTCGAAGTTAAGCCAAAATTTGTAGTTAGTAAGTAAATGTGTTTCATTAAATTAAATATTTAAAACATACATGACAACAGCGCGTCATCACTCTTATCGAACCGGCAATCGATCGCAAACGGTAACAGTGGTTAGTTTTCGGGCATCGGGCGTGTTTTTTTGTTCGCGTACGTCGTCGTGTTTGTTTACAATGTTCTCGAATCAGGAGTTCGCCGACTTGTTGTTAGCTTACGGTGAAGCTCGTCAGAATTCAAATCTTGCAGTTCAAATGTGTCGTGACAGATTTCGTCAACGGGTACACCCAGACAGAAGGACATTTGTAGAAGTGTACCAAAGGCTT